AGAAACATAGACGTAAATTAAAACCATTTCCCATCCAAGCAAACGGTTTTGACTTCTTTAAACCTGCGTTTATATTATAAAAATAAGCAATTTTTTTTCACGGTTTGAATGACTCTAATCGAACCCGCCATCGGAGATGGCCTAAAAAGTACAAATGAACGAGTGATGATTGTCTCATACTGACATTAACACAAGCAGTTTACTTTTTGCTCCATTACAAGCATGCACACCGTTATATTGTGCCGTCTTTGTTTATATTTCTAGAGAGCATTTGTGAAACCTTATCCACGTAAACGTTGCGTTCGACAACGCAGTTTAAAATGTCGGTTCATATTACCAAGCTTTGGTGTGAACTAAAGGTTTGTTTCGAATAGAATTTCCTAAACTGCCCACAACGAATGCGGGAATAAGGGCAATGAAGCTATTTTAATACGAATGTAAATCCAAGCTTGCATCAAAATAATAAATGCGATTTTAAAACAAGTCAGTGAATCATATAGGCGCAAAATAATATTTTCTTGGGGACATTAGTTGAAATATGCAATAGTGCCATCTAGGACATTCTATCTACCCGAACTATATACTAAGCTTCAGGCAAAAGATGCTGTATTTCAAGGAGAATCTGCAGATTTGTTTTATTCAGCAAAAGAAAACATACCTGCTTTTGAAGAAGACAACATGTTTCCTTACAGGTAGAAACTGTTTAAAAGCAAAGGTTTCGGGTATAAGTGTCTTGCCAAGAATTCCATCGAACAACGCATTAGGGTTACAGCTTTTCCTCAAAGCAATGACCATCCACTTTATGCTCAAACCAGCTCAGTGTTTGACTGCATCCTGAGCAATAGAATCTTGTTTTAAATAATATGCTTGTTTGTTCGTTTTCCATTTAATATCGACGAAATTGTGCTTGTTGTTTATCGTTTCGTAAGATGCACATGTATATTAAAACACCACTTACCTATCTTTAAGCCCTTCAACTGGATAAATTATTATTATTATTATTATTATTCCAAAAGAAAGTAAATAATGCCGTTTAGCTAACAACCAGAATTACTACTGGTAAATATACTATCAAATGGAAATAGGTCGTCGAATGCCATGTAGACATTACTAATCTCAGTAATATTTGGAGGATAGTTAGAAAAACATAATGGAGGGAGAAGACTTAATTTTGGATCCCTTTAGATTCCAAAATCCTATACCAGTCATTTCGAAATGCATTGCGTCTCACCATGCCACCGTCAAACCGGTACGCCGTCTTGAGAGTCTTTCATACCCGTAATATTTGCGTAGCCACGGCCCAATATACGATGGATCACAGCCAGCAGAAGGGTTCATTCGCACAGCAGTTGAGAATCAATATTTAAAACGGACACCTAGCGTTCATTCGAGAAATCTTCTTTTTTTCAGTAGAAAGTTGTTTGAGCAATGTAGGAGGAGTTATACTTACGGTTTTGGCACCCATTGCAACTTCATCTCTCAACTAAATACTTTTCTTTCAAACTACTATTTTTGCTCAATTCGTGGAAAAACTGCTGTGAACGTCTACATATCCACCTGTGTCAAGATATAGAAACAAAATACGGTTCAATGCAAAGCAGATGCTGCGAGTGGGGAGAGATATTCTAATGCCCAGAACTAAATGAAACCGTAACTAGTGTTGGTTGCTATATTTGGCGCAGCCCGCCTGGAATAAGGATTCGTCCTCTGCACTTCGACTAAAGCATGTCTCTCATCTTAAAATGTTCATTTGGCTATCCGAAGAACGGCTCAGGTGTCCCTTTAAGCATCCCATGACTGTAAACACAGAGATACTTTAAGAACAAAGCTTTCCGCACCTTAAATAAAATAGCTTGTTTAGCCATGCAAATAGCATATAAGTTAAAGGGGGCAGCGTAAAGAAACCGTAAGGTTGAAGATAATTGTTAATGTTAGAAATACAAAAGGTGGAGTAAATGGATTCACACTAATTCTTCGAATATCTTCGCGACCGAAGTTTGGATGAAGTAGTTTATACGTCTTTGAAGACTAACTATTTGTGGCAAAAAAACTTTCATGAATTTTCGCAAGCTTAAATAAGCCGTCACATCCCGTTTTAAACCTAATGAATGGCTACAAATCTCGTATAAGCACTTTCTGCACTCTTAAACACCGTATGCACCAACATATATCAAAGAAAAATAGCAAAACATAAAAATAGCACAATAAATAGAACTCGCTCTAGATGAAAACATGCGAAGAATGAGGTTCTTGGAAATAAAAACAACGAAATGGAAAGGGATCACTGTAGGCTTAACATTCAATTTTCGGAGGGGGAAAACTTCAACATCACTTCTCAAACAGTTGCCATTTCGGTACCTTCACACAATAATTACTAACTCCCCGAACACAACGCTACCTGGTCATCTCCAAAGGTAACTGTGTGCGATTCCATTTTCATTTAGTCTTTTAGTTCGATACTACACATTTTGAAACCAAACTTAAAGCAGACTTCTGTAAACACTTGCACACTGGCCATTTGTAAATGTACGTATTTCGTTTTGAAAGGCAAACCCCTGCGCTTGTTCATGTCTGAGGTCTTTGAACTGCTTTATTTTAGCTGGCGCGATTATCGCATCATCTCAAATGACGGGTCAATTCGTAAGTCGTTTTATTTCAAATGCATCGATACAGTTTCAAGTGCTGCACTTGTTTCACTGAATAAGTTTTCTTTAAATATTATGGTTATTCCAAAATTTATTCCCAAACTTGGAGAAAACAATTAATGGAGGACTTTTACTCCGCATAACTTGATGATATTCGTTCGATTTTGTTCTTTTTCAACCACCCACCTTGGTCAATACCTCAGTCAATTTAACGTTAACTATAATTTTTGAGGGAGTAGATAACAAGAAGATACCAAGGGGACGTAGGCTGAAAGCTTAACTATCTAAACAACAGTTAACGTTGAAATAAATAACATATGTAAACATTTCAAATAAAAAACGAACAATGCGTTTATAAGCAACAATATATACTGGTGCTAGAAATATAATGACCCATCATTCCCTTTCATGTCACCTACGTAAGCTGTACCACTTTCTTTAGCAGTTTGGCCAATCGCTGTCATTGTATTATGGGCTGTATGGAAAGAAAATGCAAAAACAGAAACTTAAATATCAACAACCTAAATTCACCCATTTTTTCCATGTGGAGAGTATGCTTTCTTTCTCAAATTACACACTAGTCCTTCATTGGCATCTTCTTCTTATTGCATTTTTCACCAGCTACAGCTTACTAGAATTTAGAAAAGTCCAGAACGATAATGTTTGGATTAGCACCTGCATTGATTTTAAGTTATTATCCACATTCTATATACGACCTGAAAAAAATGCTCACTACTCAAAATTTGAGTGACGCTGTATCTGTAGGGCACTCATTCGCTCTGCTAGTTTATTTCTATGAGCGTGTGTTTGATTATTTAGACGTATTAGTTGCGTGGAGGTAAAGGAGCCTTAATTTGCCTATTTTAATGAATTCGCTCATACATAATTTTTTGATGGGTAAATTCTGTTGCAGGTAATCAAATCAAAGCGTTTATGCTATCTTATTTGAAAGAAAAAGTACCAACACTACGGAAGTCTTAGGAAAAGACGTGAAAATTATAATTAAATAAAACGAAAACATGACTTCTGATTTACATCAGCTTGTGCGTCAACAAAAAGTTCCGTTACCAAAGCCTTCCTTTGTTAGTTATCCAAGTTTAACCCAGAAAGGACACCATATATGGGAAACAAACCAACTGGGACTCAGCTATTCTTAAGTATAAACTACAGACCTATACATCTGTTACAGATTTTCTAAAATTTCCATGAAAGTATTCGGAAGAACAGTTGACAAACATACGCATGCTTTAGATGAATTCTCGTCGAACCAGTACATTCATATTTGCCGTATTTCTTCTCCCCCGTTGGAGCAGTACCACCAAACCCTCACAGCCGCTCAACTTGTTATCCCTTATCACTCACTGACCCCACCCACAAATATCTTATATGGATAGGCGAACATTTGAACCCAATGTTTTAAATTATGTTCCATTCCTGTACAAATTTACTGACCCGATGCGATTATTATTGGTATACAGTAGTGAAGAAATGTAGCTGTACAGCCGAACATTTCAGAAGAGGTCGTTTACATAATTGGTGACTACTCACTTGTTCTAAGTAATACAATCATAATTGGTGATGTCAGTTAACACGAGCCAGCAGGTGTGACTGAGCACAAACAGCAGACAGTGAAAAAAACTCCTAAGGCATGGCTCAGAATTCAAAGGTGAAGTGTAGTTGGTGATGTACGCACCGGGTGAATTGGTGGAGCTGGAACAAGTGGGGGGATCAGTTGTGGTGACGGAGGTGGTAGCAGAAGGTGGTGCGTCGGAGCGGATGCAGAGAGTTAGGAGTGTGGTGTCCGTGGTGGTCGGCCTTGGGGACAATGAGGGGGTTAAAGCAGGGAGGATGGTGTCAGTGTTTGACGGCAACGGCTCATCGGAAAGTTGGGCTTCCGTGGTAAGGGTGGTCGTCGTCGGAGTGCTAGAAATTTGAGGGAGTGTTCGACGCCGTAAAAGCGAATGTGCAGTGTATCTGGAGATGGCCGACCAAATCGAAATGCGCACGGAAGGTGCGTTGAAAGCGCGGGTAATTTAGAAGGGCTTGGGCCTTGACAACGTTCGTCCATTGGGATGGTCACTTGCAAGCCGTCTTTTTCGCGCTGGCGGCGACCACCTGACTGGCTATGTAGATAACAGTTTTCACTAGTCGTCTCCTGGCAGATCGGTCCTGTGCGAGTTTTCTCCAGGTCATCCTGTTGATTTGAAGGCACTTCAGGGAGTTTTACGGGGTGTCTATATAACGCCTCTTTTGTTCTCCTTGACAGCGAGCAGCCACAGCGATATCACCATAGAACAGTCGCTTGGCTAGTCGTTAGTCGTCCATCCACATAAGGTAATCACTACATCGCATGGGATGGAAACGGAGAATTCCCCTTCTTTCCAGGACTTCCGTGGCCGGAATCTTGCCCCTCCATCTCAACTGCAGTATTCGGCTGAGGCAGCTCAGATGGAAATGTTTCGGCTTCCAAGTGTGGTTGGCCTAGACGGTCCAAGTCTCCGCTCCATAGAAGAGTATTGTGAGGACGACGACCTTGTACGTCTTCAATTTGGTTGTCAGATGGAGTCCGTGG